CCCCGGTCCCAGTGGCTCAGCCAGCCCCTCTCCCCAGTTAATCATGGAGAGAACTTAGTTGTATGAGGGTCACCTCGGAAAGTCAGGCCCCGAGGAGGGACTGCGGCTGAGCTTGGTGACCCAAGCATGGACGAAAGAAGGGGCTGCCCTTCCACCTCCAGCTCGGCCTCCCCCACCCTCCCTGATTCACTGACACCGAGTGACCGCTGCCCTCCAGTCGCTAGGACAAGGGGAGTCAGACGGGCGCCTGTGGACCGCAGCTGGGGTAGCAGTTGGCTGTGGGTTGCTAGGCAAAAATAAACATCAGAGACACCTCCCATTTCCTTACAACTGCAAGCCTTTCCCCAACACGGCCACTGGGAGAGACGTGACACACCTTTCTTTCAGCTATCGCTGCAAGAGTAGGACACCTCTGTCACCTCTCATCCTCGGAGGAAAAGATTCTTTTTCCTTTTTCCTTCCCAGACACGTGGAGAATTTCCCCGCCCTTTTCATTTGTGGTCTACAGTCTCTTTCCCAGGGAAAATCCTGTCTCACACCTGTGCTTTGTCGTGCGTGACACACTTGTGCACCTTTGTCCACTTCAACAGTCAGGTCTGGGGGAAAGCTCAACAAACCCTAACAGACAGGGAAGAAAGTTGGGCCACCGTGCGGGCACTTCCTTCCTGGGAGGTGCCTAGTTTCTGAAGTGCTCCTGGAGTGTCCATTTGCGTGACACACTTGTGCACCTTTGTCCACTTCAACAGTCAGGTCTGGGGGAAAGCTCAACAAACCCTAACAGACAGGGAAGAAAGTTGGGCCACCGTGCGGGCACTTCCTTCCTGGGAGGTGCCTAGTTTCTGAAGTGCTCCTGGAGTGTCCATTCTTTTCTGTTCTGCTCCTTATGTCCTCAGGTCCTTGGATGAACTAAGAGTGCAGGTCACTACTAGTGCAGACTTCAGTCTAGAGGGAGCTACCTCCTGCAGCGTTCCATTGGCTCTGCTGTTTGCAAATTGTCATAGCAACCTCCCACAAAGATCACCTCAGCTTTATACAAATGCCAAAAGAACCGTTTCGCAGTACAGTGTGACCCTCTCTTGATCTGGGGTTCCAGGGAGTAATAAAGGGAAGGCATGGGGGTGTGGAAAGCTTTGGCAAAGAGAATTCCACTTTTAGAGCAAATGAGAGAGAGGGGGAGGGGGAGAGAGAGAGAGAGAGAGAGAGAGAGAGAGAGAGAGAGACAGACAGACAGACAGACAGACAGACAGACAGACAGACTTATACAGCAAGGCAAATGGACAGGGATGTACCAACATTTTTCTTCCTTCCCTCCCTCCTACCTTCCCTCCCTCCCTTCCTCCATCCCTCTCTCCCTCCCTCCCTTCTTCCTTCCTTCCTAGGGTCCTTTCCCAAGAAATTAGAGCCACCATAGTATATTAATAACCGGCTCATGCTTAATTCTGCACCTTTAAATGAATCATGACCTAAATTTCTCCCAGCAAGAAATCCCTCCCTGTGCTTATCACAAGAGACTACATCAAACTCTGTAGGGACAGCTTGTGTAGAGTTCAGAATTAACTAACAGAAAGGGGCTACTAAGTAGCAGAAACAAGGCTACAATGTATTTGAGACTCTCAGTGTGATTTCACTATTGTTCCCCTCACATAGCTCCCCCTTCCTCTTCTAAACAATTGTTTCTTTATCCTTTCCCTTGTCCAGTACTCCATACTACTGATGTTCAAAATATGTTTTTTTAAAAAATCAATTTCAGTATCAAATTGTCCATACAATATTTCAAACACCATTTCTTTTACATAAATAAGAAAAATCCTAAAGTAGGCTATAGCTTGATTTCCAAATTAATATTAATAGATAAAATAAGGAAAAAGGGAACACATTTTTTCAAAGAAACAAAATTATTAACTTTAATTAAAGGATATATGTCATGTTTAGTGAACTTTAGACTCTTTTATCTTTGACAATTTCACAATGCAAACTGTATTGATCATATCTACCCAACTCTCCCAACCCACTCCCCCTCCCACATCCCATCCCAGCTGTCTCCCAGGCACCCCACCCCCAGAAACTCCTAACACAAGCTCCTTCTTTTTGACCTCTCCTTTTGTTTCTTTTATTTTGTTTGCTGTGACCCAATGAATCCAACTAGCGCTGTCAGAATGCCAACTGCTCTTATCTAGCATGATCTTGTGCAGGTAACACGGCTCCTGGGAGTTCATGGGTGCAATGGGGTGAACATCACAACCAGCAGACTGCATTTCCCAGCATTCCTCCAACCCTCCAGCTCTTCCAGTCTTCCTTCCCTGTCTTCCAAGATGTCGTCTGAGCATGGGGGGGGGGGGCGGGCAAAGTCCATATAGACACCCCATTTAGAGCTAAGTGACTAGTAGTCACTTATTCTCAGCACTCATTTGATGAATTAACTTCGGATCACTGACAAAATAAAAAGTGTGAACTCAACTACACTAGTCTATGTATACAAATGTAACTATTTGGAAGCAGTTTGACAATATGTCAATTTAGCAAGGCAATTATTGATAAATTCTCCCTAGGAAGTAGTTTCTCCCAAGCCAAGGTCTTTTGAGCAGGTTCACAATACCAGGAATGAATTCTTTCCTATGGAGCAGGTCTCAAATCCATTACAAACATGGCTGGTAACTCTCCATAACCTTCAGGCCTGTATTTCACCAATAGACACATCGTTCCTGGTGGACTGGTACTATAGTATGCAGGGTTCGCTGTTGTGTAATATCACTGATGGCTCTTCTCCTTCCAGTGGTCTGTATGGAACCTTCTAGCACTGCAAAAGCTAGCCAACAGGGAAGATATTTTCAGGTCATTTCTGTGAGATGCTGGTGAGCTGAGGCTTGTTAACTGTCCAATAGAAATGTGGCCTTGGAGAAAGAAGAAGCCTTGGAGAAAGGAGATTCTGGGAGATACTTCCTACAAACTGTATCACCATACGATACATGTATCTCTTCATTAAATGCTGTAACTAATACTTACTCTTCATAACCTGCAACCAGACCAGAGCTGACTTGACAGTAACCCTGGCAGGAGTTCAGTTCAGTTATCAACCCTGCTTTGGGGCTTGTGTCCATTGTAGATCCTTTATGTGATCTGGAATGTTTGTAGTCTCAAAAGCCAAAATACAAGTAGGCAAGCAGATATTAGTAAGAGGGAAGAGGGACCTCGTAGGAACTTAGAACTGTAGCTGTAGAAAGAAGTTGATTTTATACTGGGAAAAATACTGATCACAGGAAAGAAAATATAAAGGAGCAAGAAAACGGCTTCCAACCACCTGCTCTCATTTAATTCCTTTATTTCCAGAAACATTCTCAAATAATTTAGTATTTGCTAGGACTATGAGATATAGGGAATCATCAGACATAGTGGGCTAGATTTCAGACTGATAATCTGTTAGGACCACCTTCCTTTACTCATTTAAGAAAAAAAATAGTAATCAACTAGCATACTTTTGACACTGTTAGTGGTGAGTTGCTGAAGTCTGAATGTTTATGTCACTCTATGTTCTGAGCCTAGTCAACAAGATGGCTGCTCAGGAGGCAGATCTTTAAAGGGTGATTTAATCCCAAGGGCATGCATTCAGTTTCCTCAAGGTTGGGGGAAGCATTAATCTAATTAATCTTTATCAATAAAAATCAGGAGTCTGATATTGGAATAAGAACCTGAAAGATCAGAGAAGTAGGGGAACAGCCACCTGTCTCAGGGTATATCCTGACTCAACCCTTCCTTCCCACTTCCTGTCCCTCTCTTTACAGTCCTCC